GCCCGTCGACGGCCGTCCCGAACGATCGTCATCATCAGTCAATGTTCGGCCATTTTTAAAATGCTTATACCAGTTGTAAGTTTGTGTCTGGCCTAAACTGTTTTCACCAAAAGCTTGCTTCAACATTTGGTGTGTTTCTGCAGAGATTTTCCCAAGTTTGAAACAAAACTTTATACGGACACGCTGCTCTCTGAGGTCAGCCATCACAAAACCGCAAACTCACAGAAACACAACAATGGAAATATGTTCACCAACAATAAACCCAACCACTCAACTTGACGCTGCTTGCCACACCGATTCAAGAAGGATGTGTGAGGAGGCACCTAGCGGTATTTCGATGTACTCATAACCATTCGCGCGCAAAATTCAAATTTCGGGAACTTTTGGATTGCCCCACGTATTTTGTTAGGTAACTACAGGTAAATATAAATTACTGAGGGCTCTAGTTTTGTATTTGTGAATCTCTTTGTTAAAATTAAATAAATGTTATTAATTATGTCTATAAGTAATGAATATATGTACTTAGAGTAGAACATCATTTTTTCCAAATTCTTCATAGTTTCATTATTGTAAGTTTTAAGGTATCAAGTAGTATTATGAATTGTACTAAGCAAAGAAGTTTTTTTGTATGTAATCAGCACAAGGAATGATAGAATAACAAGATATAAGTATTGTTTCCTCAGTTATTTAATACAATTAACCTGTCATGCTTTGTGTGAGTTACTCACAAAGGTAGGAAAAGGCAGTTCTTACCAGACACCAGAGAACATTAAACATTGGCTTCAATGTCACCTTTATTCTTGGACTGTAGAACAGAACATTTTAATTTTTCAGTGTCATGACAAAACAACATCACATAATATTGTCATGTGTTGGGTATATGTCACGCGACAAATAACTTCACGCCGTATTGGATATAGCAAATTTATTCCACTCGCTCTTACAATCACACTATTTACAATCTCACAATTACTGCCATCGGCCGTATCACAAATACTAGACTGCAATTAACTGGTTACTCTTTCTCTAGTAACTGGCTGAATACTCACTACTAAATAACTTATCACTCACTACTAACTACTGAATAGTGTTCGCTGCTCCTTATTTGGCCTCGACACGGACAACACAGAAATCAGTTAGGTGATAGGTACCACTGTTGCTTAACGTCGTGTTTACCGATTGCCTAGCAAGTCATTGCATGGACTCCCTGCTGTGTTTACAAAGGGGTTGGTGAGCAACGCTGCCGAGAGTTGTTTATTGCTGCATAGCAACTGCGGTGTCCCCTGTTATGTCACCGCGGGGAGGGGGACGGGGTGTTTACCGAGCGTGGCGCCGTCACATCACAATATATTATGTTCAGAACTGAAGTACATGTAGATTTACGTGTCTCTTCCTGACTATGAATATTACCGGAGAGTCAGATCCAAAACAGAATAATATTACATGCATAGTTTCTTCAAGATGTTTAATAGAACTGTAACTCCTGCGTCCCTTGAAAAGATCAGGATCCTAGTTAACATTTTGTACACATGAAACAATCAGTAGTTTAACTTGTACAAAATTTATGTGCCAGGAACTTCACCTTCTTACAATGAGTCTTGCTACTTCTTTCATACTACACACATGCACATGATCTGGTCCACAATATGGCAACACACTTTGCTGTTGACTAAAGAGTATGTGTACATGAAACAGGGATAGCAACTCACAATTTCACACTATCAAAGCCTATATACACTAGCTAGCCTTTGAAAAAAGGATACTATTTGCTGCCTGTTTCGAGGATTTCTCTCCCTGACTCGATCCAGATGTTTCCTACGGGCCAACTCTTGATTACGGACAACAAAAGTATTCTTGACTTCTTCTTTGGCATGTTTGCAAATATCTTCATACTGTGAGAGCTCTGATACAACTTTGGAATCTAAGCGCTGAACTTGGGCATCCCTATGTAACAATAAGTATTTAAATTCTTACTTTGTGGAAAACACCTATCAAGTTCAAAGTTAAGAAAAATACAAGCAGTTTGCAATGAGAGACACAGGCCAGTAGATGACACTTCGTCAACAAAAAGTTTATATATACCTTGTACTACATAAGTCAATAATTATCCGCAATGTTGCTGTAAACTTTATTTCAATACAAATAGAAAAATTACATTAACATTATTTTTCAACATAGCCCCCTTGCTTTTCAATGCACTTGGTCCATCACTGCACAAGCCTCCTTATGCCCTCTGAAAAGAACGTTTTCAGCTGAGCAGCAAGCCATGCATGCACCGCTTCCAAGGTAACTGAGGGCCCCTTAATGCCTGAGTGGACCAAACAAGTGATAGTCAGAAGGGGTGAGATCACGACTATACAGAGGATGAGCCATTACATCAAACTTGAGCTTCTTGAGGGTTTCAGCAGTATAGGCAGCACTATGTGGATGGGCAATGTCATGTAACAACACAACACCTTTTGACAGTAGTCCTCGGTATTTGCTTCAAATTGCAGGCTTTAGCCAGTCAACAGGCATCTCACTGTAATAAGCACTGTTTATTGTTCTGTCCCTCTCCATATAATGTTCCAGTACTGGGCCTTGTGAGTCCCAAAAAGACTGTAAGCATCAGTTTTACTGTGGATGGTTGGCTTTCGAACTTTTTCTTGCTGGAGGAATGTGCATGTTCCCAGTCCATACTCTGCCATTTACTCTCTGGCTCGCAATGATGGATCCATGCTTTGTCACCAGTGATGATTCTGTCTAAGAAGGCATCACATTCATTACCATAGCAATAAAAATGTTATTGGCAGATGTCCAGGTGCATTTGTTTATGCAACACTGTGAGTTCTTTTTGGACCCATCTTGCACAGACTTTATGAAACCCAAATCTGTTGTGGATGTTTATAGGCAGAACCATTAATAATTTGCAAATAATTTTCCACTTCATCAACAGTCACTCATCTGTCTAATAGAACCATGTCATGTGCATGCTCAATGTTGTCCTCATTAGTGGCTGTGGATGGGTATTCGTTCCTTCCACAAGTGTAACACTTGTGCAACCATTTTTTAATTTTTAAATCCATTCGTAGACACTCCATTGCGGCAAAACGCTTTTCCTGTATTGTGCTGAAAGTCCTTGATGGATTGCAGCCCCTTATGCCCCTTCCGACCACAAAAACTGATTCACTAAACATTGCTCTTCTTTGGTGCAAACAGAAGGAGGAGCAGCCATGATTAATGGCAATGCAGCAACAATGGAACTGACTTGCACAGAATAATAAGACAGAAACCATGCATAGTGATGCTGCACAAAATGACAGTGCTGCCAAAAGAAACACAAATACAACTGCATTGGGGATAATTATTGATTTCCTTTCATATAATAAAGAGTTCAAAGTGTGGTCAAAATAAATGGTATTCTCCTGTCATGAACCATCATTAAGGCTCCTTCATCTGATGATACCCTTCTCTTTCTTATGTCTAATATACAACAAATTAAACACACTCACCTAAGAGAAAATTTGTTGAACGAGAGTGCAGACTTTTCACGTTTACATACAGGAAGTGATGATACATAGGTCATACCGAAAGTCATGAGCAACTTTTTTTGCATGCAACCTGGGAACAGCAGACGAAAGAGAGTATGGTGGTAGGTGGAACCAGCTGTTGTGTTAACCTTGAGTGTCTTGTGATGTCAATAGCTTGCATCATGTGACCAGTATCACTCCTAACAAAATGGCTGACAACCATATGTCGTTTCGCCAGCGTGCTGTCATCGGATTTCTTGTGAAAGAGGAAATCCCTGCTGCAGAAATTCACCAGAGACTTCAGCATGCTTATGGAAGTGCGTGCATGGGTGCGAGCAGTGTTGGAAGATGGGTGGAACATTTTACAAGATGGGAACACCAGCATCGAAGATGAGTCTTGGAGCGGTCGTCCTTGAAGAGCCTCAACTGAACGCAACAAGGAAAGAGTGGATGAGATCATTCAAGATGACAGGCGTGTGACTGTGGACACAATAGCCTGAAAAATTGGAATAGGGTACAGTGCAGTACAGGAGATGATTGAAAGCTTGGGCTATAGGAATGTTTGTGCTCGTTGGGTCCTGCGGTTATTGACCAAAGACCACAAAGGTCAGCGAAAAGCCATCACCTCAAAACTGCTGCAGAGATATTGACACGAAGGCAATGATTTTATGCTCTGTATTGTGACAGGTGACGAAAGCTGGTTTCACCACTTCGAGCCTGAAACGAAACGGCAGAGTATGGAATGGCACCATTTGCATTCTCCATCAAAAAAGAAGGCAAAGACAGTGCCATCAGCTGCGAAGGTGATGGGCACAGTCTTCTGGGATGCACAGGGGTTTATTCTGGCCAAATTCCTGGAACCTGGGAAAACCATAAATGCTGCTCATTATGTCCAGACACTGCACAAGCTCCGTCATGCATTGCGCGATAAACATCCGGAATGAAACATCATCATCCTGCATTCCAATGCTTGCCCCCATGCCGCTCGCCTCACATTGGAAGCAATTGCAAAGATGGGGTGGGAGGTTCTTCCACACCCCTCCTATAGCCCTGATCTGGCACCCTCCGACTACCATCTTTTCAGATTTTTGAAGGATCAGCTGTGTGTACAACATTTTGAGACAAGGGAGGCAATTCAAAAAGCAGTGCGTCAGTGTCTTCGGATGGCTGGAACGGAATTTTACAGAAGGGGAATTTTCAAACTCCCAGAATGCTGGGAGAAATGTGTACCAAGAAGTGGCGATTATGTGGAAAAATAAAGAAAGGTCTGTAGATTGAGGTGGTGTATTTGGTTTGTCAATAATATAGCATGTTACTTTACAAAAAAATTGTTGCTTATGACTTTCAGTAAGACCCTCGTAACATTTAATGACCAGTGTGTTTTAATGTTATTGTAGGGTAGTAGACCTCGTCTGTTAAATATATGAAATGGTGCAAAGTCTCTACACTTACTTTCTCATATGCAACTGACCTTGCTGATTGCTGTTCAACAGACCATTATTGGTCACTGAATATACAGATTAGGGCATGTAAGCAATGTGTAACACTGTTTAATTATTTCATATATGCTTTCTATTATCCTGAAATAATATTTCAGATAAACTGTCTTAACTTTTAAATATGGTATAACAAAAAATACATCCAACTGATACATTTTTGAGAAAACTAACAATCCACATCTGGGCCCTACAGGTGCAAATCATTATTTTCTCAAAAATACCACCTATGCACTTTTATTTAGGGAAATGGTCTCCATAAATTACTCGAATATAACCAAAATCATCAAAACCTTTTTTAAAAAAAATCACAATTTCTTTTCTTCGGGCCCACTTGAAAGGCCCCTATTTTTGGACCTAGAATATTCATATTCACTGGACACCAGACTGAATACGAATAAAATCCTTCCAGCTGTTCACATGCTTGCCAGGGGCACATCCATACATACAAACAGACTGCATTCAAAAAGCTACTTATTCACATTCAGGGGGACTGAAAACATATAAACATGTGAAGTACTTCAGAACAGACTTTTTTTCAAGCTCATACACACTACATTTATGATACAGTTAAGGGGAACTACACTCTATCAGGGATGATCAAATCTATAATTTAGTTGTTACAGCTCATGCATTTATCTCATTTCCTTTCTCTACAAACTACACCACATCTTGAACCAAAGAAAAAGAAAAAGAAATGAAGATTTTGAAGAGAGTTAAAAATTTATGACATACAAATTTTTATATTACAGTCAATCTCCTGAGTGAATTTCAATTTAGTTAAGTCCTGACAATGGCAGTTAGCACAACAATCATCTCCATAAATCTTAATCTGTTACCCATTAAAGCATCATCAGACAATCATACAAGTTGATTTATCTGTTGAAATGCTCTCTCATTCATGGGTACTCAGTTTTTATAGGAAGATATGTGATGCTTGAAGGAATGATGTCACAATTACTATTTGACATTCAGCCATTTCCAACACACTCAACAACTCAACATACAATTGAAGAGGTCCTGAACAACTGTTAAAACCTTTTGTTCAACAGATATAACTGGTCCTGGACAACTGTTAAAACCTTCTGTTCAACAGCTATAACTATTACTTATGTCTGAAATCTGGAATTGAGACAGCACCTGTAGTCTCCTATAGCTGATAATGTAGAGGAAAACTGAAGTAAGCCATTCCTTAATGACCTGTTCACATTTTCAGCTTCTGCATAATCTTGGATTGCCTTTACTGCTTCATCAGATTTATCTCTCAACCTGAAAATGAGATCACACAGAAGAAAGTTGTTCCTGAACTAAAAATCAGATACATGAGTGAAAAATCTTCAAGAAAGGGAAAAATGAAAGTTGTCATTTCGCATGCAGATCAATTGCTCTACAACCATCTCAAATGTCAATAAACATGCATAAATAACATAAAATGGAATTCTATAACTTGTTAACAGATAATCCCAAGAATGGAATATGGAAAATTAAATTATTTTAGAACACAAACCCTGCACACTTCCTTGTGTAAGCTGCAAATATTGTACACAGTTCTGCAAAATGCTTCTCAACTGAGGCTATCCTCTCTTCAATGAATCTGGCTTGCTGTTCGCTAGAATGAAGGAGACTGTGTCAAAAAGAAGCATTTTATTTCAAGGTATACATGATGTTCAGTAGAGAAACTGACATTTATCAACAAACATGAGAACTTAGCTGCCAGCAGCAACTCAAGAGTTTCATGCACTAATTAACAAAGCATCCATTCTGAACTGGACCTTCATATAGCTATGATGAATCATTTATATTGTTTAGTTTTTGTAATTTTGTGTAATATATACTGTTGAAATGCATATATAATACTAAGAAGAACCTAAAGTGGAAAACAATGTAATCAACTAAATACAGCAGTGTGATTATCATTATCAATGATTACTTTAATCAAGATGTCACTTCTCCAATGAATTTTAGGTGCAATTTTTAAACTTTCACATTTTCAAAAGTGAAGGAATTAGCTGGTTTAAGTAATAATTTTGTCACTGCTATATGTTACATAGTGAAAAATACACACAAGAGGGACCTCTGTGTCCCACATACGAAGGACGTGTTGAGAATCAACCAACTTATTTTGTACTGTGGTACAATCTCTTAATGGGGGCATGTGGTAGCGTAGATGGTTGAGGCACTATGCTACAAGCTGGAAGGTTGCAGTTTCAAGTCCTGATGAGGTGGATTTTTTCAACTGACCTAATCCTTCCAGCTGCACTATGGCCCTGGGGTCAACTCAGCCTCTAACAGAAATGAGTACCAGGAATCTTCCTGGGGGGTAAAGGGCGGCTGGTGCGTAAGGCTGATAACCTTACCGCCGTGAGCGAACTGTCTAGGTAATGTGGGACCCTCAACATCTCACAACCCTAAAAGCCTCCATGGCCTGTTACAGGGATAGCTTTACCTTTTTTTTTCTTACCATCTCTTAAGAGACATATGAATTACATGCTACAAACTGTCTTCAAGCATTATACAGATTGGCTCATTGAATGCCTATCAGAAACTGCCTTATAAGCCCAATCAGTTTATTGGCAGGGAAATCAAAATTGTGTAATGCCCATTATTTATTGTACCCAAATTCTAATCCTTTAGGCATTTGGGCAAAAGGATTTCAAGAATGATGTATTTAATGATGTGACTTGTTCAAGTGTTACTGTTGTAGCAATTATGAATGCTAAATAAAATCAATGAATGAATGAATGAATGAATGAATTGAAAATTCAACAACAAATGTCATCTGTTATATAAATTACATTTTTATTGTTTAAAAACTAACTACCATTCACTTATATAACATTTAAACAACAACAAAAGGGTAAAACTAAAATAATATATGCTTACATAGTGTGGCACTCCCTTATATGAATATGAAATTCTTAAGCAAGCAGTGATAATGAAAACTAAGTGATGCACAAATTTACATCAGAGGTCCTTCATTCACTTATTGGCAACAGTTGTTCAAAGAATTACTCTTCCATACAGATTCATGGTTTTACTGCTCAGCGTCATGTTTATATACGAGGGGGTACCCAAAAGAAACCAAACTTATTTTTTTCTTAAACTTATTTATTCAAATTTTAAGCACAAACCTTCAATCCCCTTCAAAGTACTCTCCACTTACACTAATACACGTTTCTAGTCTTTTATTCCATTTTTCAAAACATTGTCTAAATTCATCTTTTGAGATGCTTGACAGCGCCTCCGTCGTTTTTTTCCTTCACCTCAGCAACATCAGCAAAACGCTGAAAAAAAGTTTTGATCATTTCGGGACTCTTCTTTCAAAGCATAGCATGCTTCCACGCGACCTTGTTTTTGTTCAGCAGTCAGCAGTCGTGGCACGAATTTCGCAGCCACCCTTTTCATTCCCAAATCTTCTGTCAAAATTTGTTGAACTGAGCTCCAAGTCACTCCCGACAGCTCCACAATTTCTTCAATGGCCCGTCGTCGATCTTCCTTGATGATTTCACGAATTTTTTCAACATTTTCATGTGTTCGGGCCATTGCAAAAACGACGATCACACAAAACAGTTGTTACTATAAACTCTGCTGAAACTAGTCCTTACCTTCTGAAGCAACGGTAGTCGGCTTATCGACTCAGGAATGTTAGCTCTATGCGCTCATAGCGGCAAAACGCGGTACTACAAAAGCTCTGCCCACAAAAAAAAAAAATTAGTTTGGTTTCTTTTGGGTACCCCATCGTATATAAACACTTTTAGTGTGCATCAAAATCCATATCGAAAAAGAAAATATTTGTCAGATACATTTTTATTCTCAATGGTACAATGCAACAAGAGGCCTATCACCACTTCATGAAAGAAAGGGTGGGAGGGTATGGATTGGATTCATCTTGCTCAGAATGGGATCCAGTGCTGGGATTTTGTGAACATGGAATTAACCTACAGATTTCATAAAGCAAGGGGAATTTCCTAACTGGCTGGGTGACTATAATGTTCTCAAGAAGAACTCTTCTCAGCGTTAGTTAGTTAATATCTCATGAATCATTTCATAATAAAAATTAAAATATATACTATAAACTTACCATGCCATATGCTGTGGACGACTGGCCTTGATCATGGTGATGAAAGTATCTATGAACACTGAAACATAAAAAGGGATACATCATAAACATGCAAAATATTGCTTACAAATAATAAATAACATGTATACTCATTTGCATTCATATTGAAATTACAGAAGGAAACATCTGAACTCTTTCTTTTTGTGTGTGGTTTATTTTATGACTGTCAATATGTCAGACTAAATAGCACTGATGATCTGCGACCAGTGCAATGGAAATGATGAAACCCCATATACCTCCTGAATACAAGTCTAGGTTGTGTTATTACTACACCAGCCTGCTCAGTCAATTCTGATTGGAACATCAGAAAAATTGCAGCTCGTGAAACGATTTTAAACGAAAAATATGTATTAAGATGACAAAATTTAAATATATTAATAAATAATCATAACCAGAAAGTTAGTGGAAATAACTGTTTCAATTAACACAACCAGATAAGAAAAAAATGAGGCCAACAGACAATCAATAGACAGGTATCAAAAAAGAAACAAAATAACCATAACTTAAAAGATCAATGTTCTATGTAAAGTTATAACTAGTGAAAATGCACGCTAAATTCTTTACAGAAATTTTGGACATACTTCCATTATAAGTTCCCATAAATTAATATTTTAAATGAATGAACTGAACTTTACATGGTAGTGACTGACATGCAAAGACACCATTCATACATATGAAAAGCACTAATGATGGCTTAGACTGTTAAGTACCCCATTCCAGTCAACTACCCAAAGTGGCTTCAAGTTTACACTGGAAAGAATTGTAAGATTACCATTGCGTGTTAACACCTGTTCTGAATTCATTGATTCTACCTGGAAACTATCCCGCGGCTTGCATCGACGTTTCGGAGAAACATTCTGCCATCATCTTCGGAATCGACGTGTGAGTCTACCGAGTAGTCAACAAGATGCAGGCAACTAGCAAAAACGCTGACGATGACGACAGTCAGGTCCTCCGAAACGTCGGTAAACTTCTACTGCACCAACCGGCGATGCATTCCTGAAGAGAGGTTAAATTTCGAGCAACGTTTTTACCGAATTAAGCGGTAGTAATTCTAATACGACAAAACTCAGGTTCACGTTTATAAACATACAAGAAAAAGTTCTGTGAGGTATATCACCTACACACGAATACGGGTAACAAAATTTGTCAAACGTAAACACCCAACAATCCCAACCTATCTATACACAACGTAGACAAACAACTCGCGCTTGTAAACAAACTACGTTTCAAGATGCAGATGTTGGTACCGTTGGTACCCGCGGAAGTTCAAGATGGAAGACTTAAATTGGTAAGGGAGGGAAATTGCAAATAATTTCAATAATTCTCTAATTTTGCAATAATAGACAGTATGTAAAGTAAGGTATGTGTTCACATTAAAGTTATATATAATCATAGCATATTACTTTTTAGTGGTTACAGTGTCTTCTGTTTAGTGCAATTGCAACGTGTGTACACAATTTCTAATACGTAATGGATTTCTAATTTTCAAGAGATTCTCTGTTTCCCCACACAGTGTTACTGCGTTAAATATGTAAGTACGAACTCTATAGTGATGTGTTATAGTGTCTGTGATCGTAATGCAAACATTAATTCATTCGTTTCCTTTATTTTACATGTATCCATATAGGTAACAAACCTAGGATGTGGAAATGGTCCCTTTGAAAATAGATATATCACGATACATATACAAACTTACACGATTCACATAATCAAAATCACATACATTAATCGATTAACATAAATAATAATATAAAGTAAAAAAATTAATAAGCTAATTTAAAAATACTGTATCCGATCGTCTTCTATCCCTTACATTGTGCCCCACTCGTGACTGCCTTTTGCCCGACTTTACGTCACGTATTAGTTCTTTTACGTGTATCCCTTCCTTTCCCTGTGCTGCGGCTCACCTGCACCTCGTGTCTGGACGGTCTGGACGCCTCCACTGGAGTTACTGCCCTCCTTCCTCTTTCTCGGGATGTCGAGAAGTTTGGTGGGAAGGGAGGAGAATTGTGGTTGTTGGTGCTGGTAGGCGAGAGTTCGTTTCCTGTACGACCATTAGGTGTCTCGCAAGTAGGGAAAGACGGGAGTAGCTGGGTTCTGCTTTGTAATGGGTAGATATGAGTTCTTATCCAGAGTCATACAGGAATAGCTTGGGCAGAGCAGGAAGATCCTCATGCTACAATCACGTACACCACTTCAAGACTTTTGAACATCAGTAATTATTTAATTAACTTCAGCTCACTGAACACAATGGAAATCCTAATGGTTACACTTATTTGGATTGAACTTGTAATACTTTTAGCGAAGTGACGTAATTGTGTTTTTGTGTCTGACTTGGCCAAAAGTTGAATGAAGGCTGTCTGAGGTAGAATGCACTCTCTCTGAATCCTGAGGTCCATGAACCAGAGACTCTAAGAGAAATCCACTCCTCCAATGTGTGCCATTGGTTTAGTTTAAAAATTAGGAGGTTCCCTAAATTTGTAAATTTCCAATCATGTTGCTTTGCTATGTGATTCTGGCAGTTACTGAGCTGATGCTAAGGTTTACAGTGACTTGATGTATTAAGATCAGGGGATTAGGCTCCGACCTTCCCACTTCTAAGTTATAGCTGTTCCAAGCTGTCAGTTCTCAAATTCTCAAAGACTTTCCGACTCTGCTGAAACTGCCAGAATTCCAGGAAATGTACCAGATGTTACTTCCTGTCCACATAGCAAAACTTGAACTGTGTCACTTCTGAGTGTAAAAAGTTGGCTGTCTGCCAGATCTCTGTTTGTATTTTACATGATCTTAACTTAATATAAATTTAATTAATACAAAAGGGTCCGGCAAATTATGATGAATGGTTACATACCTTACTATAAAACTTGAATTAATACAATTTTATTTAAATTATCTATATTAACTGAATTAAATACATTACAAATTTACACACATATGACCATTTATGTTGATAGTGTTCATTTATGGAATAATGTTGGGGAATTGCCCAAAAGCAAGAAAGTGGTAACAGTTCAGATGACCATGCAGCCTTTGACCATATTGGTGTGTTATTGTGTCTGTGATCCTAATGCACTCATGTTGGGGAATCCACCAAAATCAAGAAAGTGTTAACACATTAGTTCAGATGACCAAGCAGCTCTTGTTCATTTGTGAGGAAATGTGAGCAGCATGTGAAACAGTAAGCAGATGTGTCTGCGCAACTGCGCAGAAACACTTGCAGGTTACATACATACATACATACATACATACATACATAGCATTCCATAGATCCATGAGGTAGTCAGATGACCTACCGGATGTGGAATTAGTCAAAAATCATACAATACATATATACATGCACAATTCAAGTTCACATAAATAGTAAGGATTTCACAAAAGTAGTAAAATATCCATCATAAATCCATACATTAACATATACTAGATATTTTTTCCTGTGTTCCAAACAAGAGAAAACATTACATACACTTTATGTTGTTTGGAAGCATAAATTCCTCAACAGAGTAAAAGGAGTGTGTAATTAAGTATCTCTTTAGTGCTACTTTAAATTGTCCCTGTTTATCTATAAGAGTTGTGATATTTGGTGGTAGATTGTTGAAGATTTTAATGCCAGTATAATATGCACTCTTCTGGAAACAAGAGAGGCTGGCAACTGGTCTGTGAAACTGATTTTTATTCCTTGTGTTGACATTGTGTATTTTAGAATTGGTTGGAAAAAATTCTTGGTTTTTTTTACAATGAAGATCATTAAGGAGAATATGTATTCACATGGGAGAGTTGTTACTACAGAATGTAAAGTAATAAAATGTGATCATTACGGAAAACATATGAACATGGAATTCGGCATTAGTAGAGAAATATACCATTACTCTAAACCTAGTATTTAGAAATAAGTTGCACTGAATAATAAGAAACATACTAGTGACAAAGTTTACAATTATTAATTAATCATATTATTCTTTAAGGTTCAGCATGATTGTGCAGAAACCTATGGATACCTGGGATGTAATATGAGTAAGTTCTTGAAATTATTCAGGTTTCCTGTGGTATGTATGTGTTACTGGTCATGCACTTATTGGTGCCATTACTTTGGATGTTCATACTGTGGTAAGATTACATATCAGTGGTAAAATAAACATTCTCTTTTGAAATAAGGAGGTGTCAGGCAAGAGGTAATGTATGTGATGCATACTATACATCTTGCATGTATATCTTAACATGTAAGATTTGAGGCTTTCACGGCGGTGACTATGAAGAAAGCAGTCTTCTGGGATTTGGCACCGTGTATATGTGGAAATCCCAGAAGACTGCTTTCTTTATATCTTAACATGTTTACTGTGTGTTTAAAATTATATTAAAGTACACAGCATTTTTCTCACAAGGAAGTCACAGTTTTATTTTAAATTCAGAATGGCTAATTCACTGCTCTTTTTTTTTTATACTTCTTGTGAAATTCAAAGGAATTTGTGAATAGTTTACTGAATATGTTAACACTGTTCACTACAAATAATACAAGTTATAAATGGAGTTGCATATTGTATGGAAAATATGGGACATAAACAATGTTTGAAATGCAGCTTGATTTTTGTAGTACAGTAATTATTGGTTTGTTCTTTTATACAGGCCTAGGCTGTAGGCAGTGAAAGCAGCCATGATGTGCAATGCACAGAATGCAGGTGTGTTATACAGGAAATTTATATGCAGCAGTATTTCTCAGAGACTGAAAAGAGTGTTAGTTTCATCTTTGAGTGAACATTATTTAGTAGTTTTTTGTGTTGATGGTTGATTATAAATCTATTAACTTGCCTAAAAGTTATGACATTTCTTATGTGTTTTTAATGCATGTCTTTCTGATGGTATTATAGTATGGATTTTGGATTTGTCACTTGTGTTGGAAATTAAATGTATAATTGTTGTGTATGTGCTTTGAAGAAAACACCATCACCAAACATTTAATTTATGTTTCATGTAAATAAAGTTATGAAATCAATTTTTTGTTCATTATTTTGTGTGGTGACAATAACCAAGGTGACTGGGTTATTTGTATATCCATGGAGTCCATTTAATACTTATAACATTGTAAATACTTTTACTTCTGATAGAATTGTAGCCCAAGTTTTAAATTCATGGTGTTCTAATTTAAATACATAACCATTGTGTGTGCGCGCTAGCACTGTGAAGAAAACACTCCCACAAGAAATCAAGTTTTATGTAAATATAGCTTTTAAATTTGTATTTCATTCAGTATTTTGTGTGGTGATAATCTCATATAACCAGTGTGCCTGAGTTCACTAATCAACTGAGTCACCTAGAATTTGAACATATATAATTTTTACGGTCAATGCAACAGTACTTTATTATTTATTTATATAGCTTGCATTACATGTTCCAACATCAAGTGGGTTGTTTTCAGGTGCTGCAAGTTTCTAATTTTTTTTTCTGTGACGCTACAGCCCCAATTTGGGCCTAGGCCTACCTCCATGAAACTCTCTGTTTCACTTCGGTTTACTAGATCTTAAACATTCGGTATGACTCCTTGGGCGGGTGATCAGCTCGTCACAAGGCCTCTACCTGTACACAAACACAGAAAAACACACATACACAAACACTAAACATCCATGCCCTGAGTATGATTCGAACCCATGATCCCGGCTTCCAAGTGAGCAAAGACAGTGCATGCCTTAGACCGCTCGGCTACAGTGACTGGTGCAAGTTTCTCATACTATTACCAAACTGCAATGTTAACGTCCCCATTTTTATCAATGGTTTGTACAAGTTATTTCCTATTGAATTTAAGACTAGACTTCGGTTAAAATTAACAATAAATTATAATAAAATAATAATAATCAATAAAAATCATACATGTGATAAAGTCTTTTACATAACAATGTGTTAAACCTAATTTAGTGGTGATCCTAAATCCACAATTTGATATTTAAAAATGATCTTTCAAAATTTATATGCTGTGAGTAGCTTCATGTTTGTTACTGCCATATACCACACATAGGCTTTACCAAATTTCTTCTGATGTTTGCTGCATTGGCTCGTCATGTTAGTCCCGAAATGTTACCATTTTCCTAGAGAATAGATTCCTCTTCTTTCATGTTGTCGGGAGCCAATGGTTAATCTATGCTGTTTTATATTATGCAGTTCTTTGTGCTGCGTGGTTCATGCTATAGTAAGCTACTTCGTGGGTATCCCAAACTCTATCAGAATATTGTACAATACTTCCCTCCTAACTGAATCATAGGCTTTCTTGAAGTCTACAAATAGCTGATGTACTGTCTCATTGAATCCCAATTTTTCTCCAGTATGTGACGAATGCCAAAGATCTGATCAGTAGTTGATCTGTTACGTCGAAACCCTCACTGATGGTCCCAAATAATTTCATCTATATATGGACTTAACCTTGAGAGAAGAATATTTGGTAAAATTTTGTATGCATTTGATAGTGATATCTGCCGATAATTACTGCAGTCAGTTTTATCACCCTTCTTGTTAACTGGTACAATAGTAGACACCTTCCCATGATCAGACAATTTTTCCTTATTCCAAATAGAATTAATTAGCTTGTGGATCTTAGAACATAATATTTTGCCTCCTGCTTGAATAAGTTTTGCCAGAATTTGATCACTACCTGGCGATATATACCTCTTCAATTTTGTAATCGCACTTTCAACCTCAAGAGGGCTAGGATCAGGTACTAATGGCTCAGCTGTATCGATTTCTGTCTGCCTAACATCACTGACCCTATGTACATTCAATAACTGAGAGAAGTATTTCCTCTGCCTATTCAAAATGTTGTGGGAATCTGCAAGCAGATCACCATTCTCATCCTTCACTAAGTTACTGCTAGGCTGGTAACCCCTTTTAAAGTCATTTATTCCTCTATACAGGTCTCTAATATTCTTGTTTTTACTGTTCATTGCAAGCTCATCAATTTTTCCTTTCAGATATTCCCTCTTTTTCTTCCTGATATGCCTGCTGGTTTCACATCTTATATTGTTTAGATTATCCCCATTTAACTTGCTTGGATCCTGTATCCACTGCAATTTGGCCTGCTTTCTTTGATCTAATAATTTTGAGCATCCTTCATCGAACCATGGCTTATGCTTCTTCGGTTCATAATAACCTAGACTCTCTTTGGCAGACATTTTTATATTCTCTCTAATAGTTTCCCAAGTTTTATTAACATCCACCTCAGTGTCCAAGTTTTCCAAAGCCGAAAACCTATTTGAGATTTCAACATGATACTGCTCTTTACCCTCTACCTCATTTAATTTCTTGAGATTGAACCTCTCCATATGAATCCTGTGTTGTTTGGTTGCTCACTGCCAGTATTTCCCTAACCTTTGCCACCACCAGGTAGTGGTCAGTATCACAATCTGCTGCCCTCAATGATCGGACATAAAGTATACTTGATTACCGTCTCCTATCTATCAAAATATGGTCTATTTGATTGTAAATCTTCCCATCAGGAGATGTCCAAGTAAATTTATGGATGTTACGATGTGGGAACATTGTACTTTTGACAGTAAGATTTTTTTGATGTGGCAAAGTTTACTACTCTAACTCCATTATCATTACTAATTTCATGCAAACTCTCATTCCCAATTGTTGGTTTGAAACTGTCTTCCCTCCCTACGTTGGCATTGAAATCTCCTAACAAAATTTTCATAGGGTACTTCAGGAATTTATCAAATACATGTTCTATTTGTTCATAGAACCTGTCCTTTATGTCATCAATTTTATCTTCTGTTGGTGCATGAACATTCATAATGATGATATCAAACCAGTGACCTTTTAGTATGATATATGATATCCTATCACTAATGAACTCTACCCTCTTAATTGCTGATACGATTCTCTTATGTACGAGAAAACCTGTACCTAATTCATGATTTTCATTCCCCTTTCCATAGAAGAATGTATAGTCTCCTGCTGGTGTGATGCCAACTCCACCCCATCTGACCTCCTATATCCCCACTAAATCTAACTTAAAATTTATGATTTCTTCTGCCACTGCCCTGAGTGAACCTGCCCTATACATACTTCGAATATTCCATGTACCAAATCTCTTGTACTTACATGTTTGCAACTTGCAAGTTAAAAATTTCACAAGGCAGATAAAATTAATGCCAGAAATGTTTGTAATGATGTGTCATGATACAATGAAAATACCAAGGAAAATTTTTGGACCTAAGGATGTATTAGGCGCCCTTGATGTCAAAATCCATGATAGGATGATGAGTTGTCGCCTAGCAACACACCGATACAATCCACAATATTAATTTTGGCAGAACACATTTCATATGGGAAAATTAAGCAAATCCGCTTCAATGGCAGAATATATGAATTACAAATATATCTGAAGAGTATGGTCTTTTGGCTTGTAATGCCATGTAGTTCAAAAAACGTCTGATGTAATCTCCACCTTCAGGGGCATAGAGTAAGCCAAACAAGTAACCAGCTGGCAGAGTTATTTGTCTCTTGGTCTTCTCTTCGACCCTGAAGATGGAGGCGTTATTTTCCTCCGAAACGTCAAACTCTTTCCGAATTTCGCGGCGTGGTAATCAAGAAGATAGTACTCATAGTCACCGCTGTTAAACCCTCGAGTGCAGCACAGAAGTGTGTTATTCCAGTGTTTTGCTTGCTTATGGGATTAGATCACAAGCTTGTATTCGTCTTTACCAGGTAGCACTGTGTGCCCAGTTGGCAAACTATTCAAATCCCCCCTCCCCGGGGGAGAACAATGCTTGTAGTTCATGGGTGACCGTGGGATGTCGCCACTAGCATACTCTGATGCGCATTCTCTAGGCCAGGCATGTCCAACTCAAACAGATTGTGATCGACTTTTTAGCATAAAAACTACCAGTGATCTACCATCCCGTCCTATCGTCGTACCTCGCTTTAAGCAAAAATACTAGTAAAATTAACACGACACATGATGTTTGTTGTAAAAGCAACATACATTGAAAGTACAGACAACTTTAATACGTATTTTCCCTTCAAAATCTGAATATAATCGTATTATATTACAAGTGAATTTACATAATTTTCACGTATAATTTCCTTATAGGCCTATGCGATCGACGCGTTGGACATGCCTGGTCTGGGCCATTTTTGTACATTTCTAAAAAAAAAAAATATGAATGTTGTTTTGGAAAAAGATCCCCACTAATTTCCAGTATTAAGGAACAGCCGAGGAGTCAAAGACAGCCGGGAAACACGTTAAGATACTTTGGATTCCAGCCCATACAGGGATTACCGGGAAAGAGAAAGCCGACGAGCTAGCCAGGCATAGGAGTGCATTAGGCACTGGGAGAGATAGTCAAATCCTTGTTCCACCTGAGGGCATGAAAAGTCTCTGGAAGAAAAATCCAAAGGGGAATCCCAGCTGTGGCACCAGGAGGTGCGACGGTTCAGGGAACAGCAATACTATACTTCGTTCCTTGATAAGAGCCCCGACCCCTGGTTTACCAAGAGCGGTGACCTCAATCTGCCTTCTCCGAAGTGGCCACACAGCCTCGCACGTTTTAATATCGTGCCAAATGGAATCTGCACATGCGAAACATCTGAATAGACCCCAGATTACGTCTTCTGACAATGTTATCGTTTCACAAAAAAGGGGAAGAACCTCAGAAAAGATGGAACACGCTGCCTCTGAAAGTGGACATGTTTCTAACCAGCATGGACCCAAGTGATGTTTGCGTACTCGGAGCCTACATCAGTACAATCTAGATAGGGATGCAAAATGTCCGCGAGCTTACATCAACCACTGTTGGCAACGAGGAGAGTCCGGACGAAAGTAAACAACAGCGCTTGATAGGCTAGACATATAAGAAGCCAACAGTAAAGCGTTCACACTGAGTCACAGTGTAGGCCGCGCCGTAGCTCAAGCGGTTAGTCGATGGCT